CTTTTTATGGCGTACCCCTTAACACAACTCCTTTCATATCTGCTTAGCAAATTTGTCCTTATCTTGGAATCATTACCTTTTCTATGAACCCTTCCATAACCCCTCCAACCAGGGTTAATGCCCTCTATTCCTATGGTAACTTTGTATACTTTTATTTTAGTACCTCCTATATTGTGTTGCAAATGTTGATGGTCATGTCTGTCTTAACTGGTTGAATGACTCTTTCAGCTTTCTATCTTTATGTCCCTGTTGCTTGTTGGGCGGTAGATATTCAATACACATTGTTTCAACAAGTGAACAAATGGTTTTATAAGTAATTTAAATGAGGAAAATCAATTTCAGTTACAAGAGAAAATAATTGAGCACATAAGATGTAATTACAGAACTAAATCTGACTGTTCAACTCAAGGACCTTTAGTGCTGCCCCCAATCTCATCCCTCACAGTACATGCAACGAAGCAGGGTGCTCTCCTGGTAATGATCTTAGAGACCTTTTTAGATCTTATTCAGAAAATATAGTCAGTTTTCATCTCTTTTGTTGTTGTTGTTCTTGGTGGTGGTAGTGGTGGTGGTGGTGTATGTGTGTATGTGTATACGTGTAAATATATATGTGTTTGTTTGAGATGGGGTCTCACAGTGTGACTCTGGCTGGCTTTGAACTTGTTGTCCTCAGGCTTCAACTTCTTGAGTATTGAGATTTCTGGTATATGTGTGTCATCATATTTGACCCTAGCTTGATAATGGGGGTACCTTCACCATATTTGGCTCTGTATAAATTTGGGGTCTTTGTTTTTTGTTTGTTTGAGATAGGGTCTCATGTAACTCAGGCTGTCTTTGAACTCACCATATCAGCAAGAGTGACCTTGAACATCTAATCTTCTTGGGTTTTAGTAAACAGTGGATATGTCTTTGAAGGAGAAGTTGCTTGCAGAATGGCCCTAGGATGCATTCACAGCTTTAAGTTCCTGAAAATGGATATCTTGTCTTTCTGTTATTATTAAAGCTCTCATGGCATCGTATATTGTTAAACTAGGACTTTTTAAGCAATGGCAATAGTCTAACAAGTACCTTACAAGTTCCCAAAGCTACTATTTGAAAGAAGTACCCTTTATTTGAATGCAGGATTACATTGTTTGCTTTAAAAAACATAGACATGTTATAATAACATCTTAAAAGGTAAGATGTAAGGGGGAAAAAAAGACAACAATCTGATTCCTAGAGCCACTCTGACCAGGAGGAGCCACATGGACGTTATTTTGGATCCTCTAATTATTCCTAATAGAAATGCCTAATATAAATTTACTGAATGCAGAGACATTTTATTGAGCCTTCTATAACTCAAGTCTGCTTTTGTATAGAATCTTTCAAGTTAACTACAGCTGATGGATACAGGAAAATAGAGGATTAGAATCTCAAAATAGCTAATTAGGAACAAAATTCTCTAAAGCCAGTCTAAAGAATACTTTGAAATCCTTGAAATATGTAGGTAGTGAAGGGACAGAGAATTATATAACATAGTGTAGAATGACTAGACAGTTTTCTTTTTTGGTGAGTGAACAGAAGGAAATTATCTTCAGCAATGTGAACAGACACAGGACAGAGACCCCACTCAGCTGACTCAACTGAAACTGCGATGTACTTTTTCCTCATATCAGGATTTCTTTTAACCGTTATTGTACATCAGGTTCAGTTTTCACTCTAAGCCCTGCTGGCTTTGCTTAATTTTTATCCAGAAGTAAAGTATAATAAGGTGACCTGCCCACCCCATTCCAGCCACATGAAGAGACCTTTGTAGCTATAAGAAGGCCTCTGTCTTCAGAAAATTGGGGCACTGTTTACAAGGCTTTGTGTAGAATGAGAAACGCCAGTGTGTTCTTTTTTAAGACAGTCTAAATTCTACATGAAAGGAAAAGTTTGCCATAAACCTGAAATCATCTTAGAAAAAGTAAACTCAGATTAGAATTTATGGCATAATTAAAGAAGCCAAGCTTAATTTTTTAATCACTGTTTTTGGGGGACCATTTTTTTTTTATTCAAACAATTTTTTATTCTGTCTTTGAGTGTCAGTTTCATTTATCAGATGGAACCAGTGACAGTTTTGTTTTTGTTTCTCCACGTCTAACTTACAAGGAGTCTTGGCTAAGTCACCTAACTGATCTGAACCTCGGTTTCCTTCACTGTAAAAAGGGGATGAAAATACATGGCTTCTGAACTTAAAAATGCCTTCAGGGGCTGGTGATATGGCTCAGTGGGTAAAGATGCTTGCCGTCAAGACTGAGGACCTGAGTTCAATCCCTGGAAATCACATGGTGGAAGAAGAGAACCAACTCTAACTCAACAAGTTGTCCTCTGACCTCCACACGTACACTGTGGTGTACATACACATTAAACATGCGGAGAGTAAGAGATTATGCAGTGCTCAACCCTAAATGAGACACCTTTATCACATTCCTCCCTCCAAGTCTCAGGGAACTTTGGGTACAGAAAGATTGTAAGAGCCAGAGGCAGAGGTGGTGGATGACTACCAGGAAACAGAATGTTCCAGACTGTAGGGCAGTTGCACATATGCATTCACAGCAGTTGTGTCACCAAGCACAAGACCTGCTTAAACCCAAGCCAGACAAAATCACAGCATGGTGGGGGAGATGGGCAGGAAGTCCCATCCCTAGCTAAGGAGCTATTGACATATGATAGCTGCTGAGAGAGGGTTTCAGTTTTCTTTAAGGGTGTGACCCCTGTTAGGCCAACCACACTTGGGAGCAGGTTCAACACCTGAGTATTTAGCAACAAATATTGTACTCTAAGGGGGAAAGAAAAAGAAAGAACAGGAAGTTAGGGAGGGAGGGAGGTGGGCGTGGTCCTGGGAGGAGGTAGGGAAAGGGAGAATATGATCAAAACAATTGTATGAAACTCTGAAAGGATTAATAAAAGATTTTACTCTTTAAATGTTAAAAAAAATTTTTTTAATTTTATGTGTATAAGTGTTTTGCCTGTATGTATGGAAGTGCACCTGTGTGTGTAATGCCCCAGAAGCCAGAAGAGGGTGTCAGATCCCTTGGAACTGGAGTTAGGGATGATTGTTAGCTGCTATATGGGTACTGGGAACTGAACCCAAGTTCTCTGCAAGAGTAGCTAGTGCCCTTAACTGTTGCACCATCCCTTCAGCCCCTAAAAAATTAAATACCTTCAGTAATGACAATTTAGCTACATCATTTGTGTCTCTGGATGCACATGCACACACACTACATGATCACATATATAGTGTGCATGTGCACTAAATATCTTTAGTATACATATATATATATATATATATATCTATATATGTACAGATGTGCTCCATCTACATGCAGTAACTAGGTAACCTGCTTTTTGTGCAGCTATGGGGAGTTGCTCAAATGCCTTTTCGGGGCTATTCCACACAGTGCCTTAGTTATGAGGCTTGTTGGCTAATGGTACACACTGAATGTCTTTCAGGCTTGCCTTGCCACAGATGGGAGCTGCTTTGCCTAAGGTTATGCTGCCTTGGTGTGGCCCTCATCTGACCATAGGCCATATAGATGTAAAAATACAGAGGCTCAGCTGCTGGTCTTCCAATGAAAAGAACTGTTAATAGGCCTGCTGATCTCCAAATCTCCTGTAGAATTGCTGTGGTCTTGGGTGCAACTGCGTTGCAGCTCGTCTTTCCTATGCCCAGACCTGTTTCCCTCCTGAGAAGGGTTCCTAGGGATCACCTGCAGTGAATCACCTGCACAACCAATCTCTAACTCAGAGTGCTTACCATGGATGCCAGTCTACAACAGCATGTGATTCTTGAAGTGACTGCCTCGTTCTTTTGACTTGGCTGCATTTGAACAATGGCAGCATGTGGCAGTGAGACGGAACAAAGCTAGCTGATAAGTATGGAGTTGACATGTATTTTTGACCTTGGAGTATTCTTACAGATAGGATGGTCTGCACTTTTTCAAAAGTCATAATGTTTATGGTACAAATTTAAAGTTTAGGACAGTAAATACTTCTCATTCTTGAATTTTTAATTCATTCATCCTTAAAGCTAAGCAGTTGAGTTTGATCTCTAAAGTAGATGAATTAATAAGAACATGCTTCATGGGCTAGAGAGATGACTTTGCAGATAAGAGCACTGTCTACTCTTGCAGAGGACCCAGGTTTGGTTCCCAGCACCCACAGGGAGGCTAAGAACCATCTGTAATTCCAGTTCTGGGAGATCCAGCACCCTCATCTGACCTCCACAGGCACTGCAAAATGAAGGTGCCCTTACATGCATGCATGCAATACAAAGAAGTACACACTTTATGTGAAATTTATATAAAGACAGTGGCAGTTTTATAACCTTAAAATTCAGGTCAAACTGAGGGCTCCATTAAAATAAAAGTATAAGATTTGGAGCTAGAGAGTTGGCTCAGAGGTTAAGAGCACTGACTGCTCTTGCAGAGGACCTGGGTTTGGTTCCTGACACCCTCTTCTGATCTCTTCCGGCTGTGCACAACACAAGTGCACTTACACACATGCAGGCAATACACTCATACACATAAAATAAAAATAATAAAATTTTTTTAAGTACAAAGTTTTTTTTAAAAAAAGTATAAAGTTTATTCAAACTTGGTCAATATACTTGCATACTTAAAATTTATGACAAGAAAATCCAACCCCCTGTTTTTCATGGTTGCTATGGACAATCAGATTGTTAAATTTAATCTACTGGCCTAGTAATACTGATGTTAGGATTGTCTGCGGCTGCCTAGTTAATGTCACTGTTAGGTGTCTTTCAGAATATCCACTCACCAAGTTTAAAATTTTCCTGTTCTTACAGCTAAGGCTTGCTCATCTAATGACATTTCTGTCACTGACACTTGTTATTCATAGTCTAGTGGATAGTGAGTCTGATATAAACTCTTAGTTTGTTGTTAATGTTCATACTGCCTATGTGTATTTTTTTCCCATTTAATTTTAAGAAGCTTTTCTTTTTACATTCTTTTTCTCAGAAGAATTGCCTTGTACGTGCCCCCTGTGTACCTCTGACAGAGGGAGCTGTGTTAGTACAACGGAAGGGATCCAGCTTGCTAAAGAACTAGGAGCTACCTATCTGGAACTCCACAGCCTTGATGACTTCTACATTGGAAAGTATTTTGGAGGAGTGGTAAGTGGATATTCCTGTGGCATAAAAAGTTATCTGTCAGGCTGGCAGTTCGGCATTTTCTAAGACATCGATTAAACATGTAATTTTATAAGCATGATTTATTCTAACCTTGAGAGAGATAATTAAGTAGTTAAGCTTAACCAAAGTAAATTTATAAATTTTGTTGTTGCTGATATTTTGGAAATTTTCACAATTAGTACTGCATTTGTCTTTGGACATGTCCAAAGCATGTGTTCTTACACAAAGCTCTGTAGGTTTATGGTTTATAGTAATCTTCTGTGTGTATGTTTGTGTGTGTGTGTGATTGATTTGAGACAGGGTCTCACTGTGTGCCCCTGGCTGGCCTAGAACTTGCTATATAGACCGAGCTGATCTCACACTCACAGAGATCTACCTGCCTCTGTCTCCAGATTGCAGGAATTAAAGGCATGTTCTACCACACCTGGCCCCACCTTGTTTTTTGAGACAAGGTCTCTCATTGGCCTAGAGCTCACCAAGTAGGTAAGGCTGAACCAGCGAACCCCAGGAATCTGCCTGTCCCCACCTCCCTTGTGCTAAGATTCCAAGTATGTGGTACTGTGTCCAATATTTTTTTTAAACATGGATTCTTGGGATCAAACTCAGTTCCTTATAATTAGAAAGCAAGTACTTTATTGACAGAGCTATCTCCCCAGCCTGGGTTATAGTAATCTTTATACAGCTGAGCGAACCTTGAAATGTGAACCAGTAAGTCCAAAAGTTCTGTTTTATTTCTATCTATTAGTTGAAAAGAATGATTTTCTTTTATGAATGCTTCAGCCAGATTTCGCAACTAATCTTGCTGTAATTCGAACATATTCAGAGGCCTGTTTATATAGATAGCTTCCTTGATGTGGGACCTAGGTCTGCTTTCAGTTGCAGTGGCAGTGTGTCTTGTAATCATTTTAAGTCTCCTCTTAATATGTAGTACCTACATATAGTGAGGTCCTTGGGAAATGCTTGCTTCATTTAAGAAGTTACTCAACCCCACAAGAAGTGACCTTTCTCAACAGGCAAAGCTGATGATCATCCAGGAAAGGCTCATAATAAGGAAAACACTACCTTAAGCGTGAGGTCTTCGGACTTCCTCACCAGTCCTCGGGATTCTTATTGCATACTCTTTTCAATGTGCCAGAACATTCTCATTTACATTTGGGTTAAAACATGAAAGATACCACAGATGACTATAGAAATTTCTGTTCTGGAGTTAACTAACCTGTGACTATATAACAAATATAAATATAAATATAGTGGCTTTAAAATTTTTTAAATTTGGTCGAGGATTGTGCATGTCTCTGATAATTTGTGGGAGTGGGTGAGCTTCATTCATTAATGATTTTATGGGTTGGATTTGTTTTCATTTCTGTTGGGATCAGTCTCCTGGCTCCTTCTCCCAGCATCTGGAGCCTGAAATACTTGGGATCACTTTTCTCATCCCTTTTTCTTTCTTCTCCTTGCTTCCCTTCCTTCCTAATGTTTATTTAATTTTTTTTTTTTTTGTCATTTTGAAACAGGGTCTCACTGTAGCCCCAGCTGGTCTGGAACTCACTATGTAGACCAGGCTGGCCTCGAACTCACAGAGATCCACCTGCCTGTGCCTCCCAAGTGCTGGGATTAAAGGCATGTGCCACCACATCCAACTTATTTTTTTATTTTTATATTATGTATATGAGTGTTTTGCCTGTATGTTTGTAAGTACACCCATCCACACAATACCTCTGGAGACCAGAAGAAGGCATCAGGTCCCCTGGAACGGGAGTTCCAGATGGTTGTTAGCCTCCATATGGGTGCTAGGAACCAAACCTGGGTCCTCTGCAGGAGCAGACAGGACTCAACCACTAAGCAATCTCTCCAGACCCCCTAATTTTTATTTAATAGTGTAGTTGCAGTTGGAGACATGACAAGGACTGAAGGTGTGGTCAAGATTGGGAAAAGACATGGGTGTTTCTTTTTTCTTAAGACTTAATGAAAATATAAAAGAAGATCAAAATGATCTCTTTTAAAAAATATTTTGTTATTTCTATTTTATTTTAGGTGTATGAGTATATTTCCTACATGCATTTAAGTGTACCTGTATTGCACAATGCCCACCAAGGTCAGAAGAGGACATCAGATTCTCCTAGAACTGGAGTTACAGATGGTTATTAGCTGCCGTGTGGGTGCTGGGAACTGAACCTGGGTCCTCTGCAAGAGCAGTTAGTGCTTTTATCTTTTGAGCCATATCTCCAGCCCCAGAATCATCTCTACTAGAGTTTTTTTAAAAATATTTTTTATTTCCTATTATTTTTAAAATCTATTTTTATTTCTATTTTTTTTAATATGTATTCATATACTGCCTGCATGTAGGTAAGTACACCCATGTCTTACAGTGCCCGCAGAGGTCAGAAGAGGCTGTTGGATCCCCTGGAACTTGAGCCATCTCTCCAGCCCCAAAATACTTCTTTCTTAAGTGGGCAAGTATATTTATGTTCAGACAAAACAAATCAATTCCTCTAGATATTTTTTGCCTTTTGGTTGTGAGCCTGAGCCTTTGATAGCTGTGGCAGCTCTCCAGTCTTCTTCCAGATATTTTTTAAGATTAAAAATTATTTACAAGTGTTTTCTAATACTGATACTAACATTGAAAACATTTGGCAAATGTGATCTGAAGATAAAAAAAATTAAGTGAGATATAATTGTCTTGGACCTTTAATTCTGTTTTAGTTGGAATATTTTATGATTCAAGCCTTAAATCAGAAGACAAGTGAAAAAATGAAGAAAAGGAAAATGACCAACTCATTTCATGGAATTAGACCACCGCAGCTTGAACAACCAGGTGTGTAAACATTCAGAAGCTACTTCTCAAGTCCTTCCTCACTGATCAGAGGTATTGCTCTCAGTTTGAGCATGCTCAGGATGCGCTGGACATTGTGACTCAGTGAACATGGAACACGGCCCAGAACCTTCTCTGCTGATGCTAAAGCACATTGTAGTTAAACCACAGTTCTGAGAAATACTGTTTGAAAATCTGAGTGTGTAGCTTCTTAGTGCATAATAGAGAGGAGTTGTTTAATACTAATATGAATTACCTGCCAAATGCCATGCATAAATCTTGACTGAATGCTCATTCAATAAACATGTATAAAAGGCTTTCCTGGGACACTCAGGTATAATTTTAGTATAAACCAGGAAATTAGTTGATATTATAGGGTTATTGTTAATTTTCTTATCTATGATGATATTATGATTAGTAAGTCAATGGGGGAGATGAATGTGAACTATTTCAGAACCAAAGTGTCCCAATGACTAAAACTTACTTTTCAATGATTCAGCTAGTGGGTGTGGATGTGTGTCTGTCTTTGTGTTTGTCTTTGTGTCTAGAGATAAGATAAGATGACCAAGTTATAATTGCAGAATGAAGTAGAGGGTATGTGAGTATTCACTGTATCATTTGTTGAACTGTTTGAATGTTAGCAAAATAAATATAAAAGTAAAATTATATTAATTGCTATCAGAACATTTTGCGTGATTTTATGGTATAAACAGATTATTTATCTGTTGAATCAATTTTTTTTATACTATTTTAGAAAGTAGGCTCTTGGATATAGTAACCATATATGTGTAAGAGTATATTGCCTGCATGAAAAAAGGCAATGTATTCACACACATTGCTTCTCATAAAGCAATGAAAAAGAGGGGTTTGAAGGCCCAAAATACAAATAAATAAGGAGATGGAAATTCAGATTTTACGTTGCATACATGTATTGGCTAATCATCCTGTTTTCCATAAATATGAAGGATTCTGTTTGTCAAAAAAGAAAAAAAAAACCCAAAAACTATTTGTTGCATGAATATAAGTAAAAATCAAGAAAATACAAATTAGAATTAAGGAATCATTTCCAGATTTCAAAAGTTCAGAAAAATAAAAGGGTCTGTTATGTAGCAGACCCTGATGTCTTAAATATTTTTGGGGTTAGAAATGACCAAATAAATAGTGTAGACAGCTAGTTATTCTTATTGATCCAGTAGAGAAAACATACTAGTTCCTCAGAGGAACCAACATATCCCATACCATTTGGCACTAATATAAATTTCCCAAGTGGGTCTTCATTTGGGGGGGTACCCACTAATGTAGTAGATGGGGTCTCCAATGGTGTCTGGGAAGCAGATGCAGCCTGCACATTCACAAGGCTGTTTCTTGTACCTTTCAGTTAAGAGAGTTGTGGGCTGAGCACTAAATAAAACCCAGGATCCAGGATGACCTCTTCTAGGTGTGGCTCTGGGGCATGATTGTTCAAGGACAAACACTGGGCTATGGAGGCACATGGCTTTCAGAGTACTGTCAGCATTTCAGATCCTGTGAAGATATGCCCCTTGCTATGGAAGGGAGGATGATGGCCTGGGGTTCAGTGCAGGGAGAGCCTGGCCCACCACAGACCAAGCTTCTGAGCTTTGTTTAGGATTTTTGTTGCTATAAGAGTGTGAATTCCACTGACTTGGAACATGGTGTGTCATCCTTCGGCCACCTTTCTTGAGGTATGTTGGTCAGCTCAGGTTTGCACAAAAGTGAGCCCACATTTTAGTTAGGTTCTATGGGGAGGGCATGTACTGTGGATATTCTGAACTGATGTAATGCTAATTCTCCCATACAGTCAAACTACTATAGTGAATCTAAGTTTGCGTTCTCTTTAAGGAAACCAGGGAGCTTAGTCAATACTTGGGCTGAGCTATATTGAGTGGAACAACTATTTGTTGTTTGGTGAAAAACAGTAGGATTACAATAAAATTGTTAAGATGATTTCAGGCAACAGAGTGGATAGCTCAAGTTATCACAGTTTATAAAGACATGGAAATGTGAAGAAGTGTTGCTTTATAGACATTGAGAAGTTTCCCTTTCCCTCTGCTCCTGGTCCTAGAGGAAAAGGACTGCAGGTGTGAGGTTAAGTTCTCCAGAACATAGTACTTTGAATTTATTTTTTAGTCAGGTAGAAGAACGATGCCTCTCAATACGGAAGTCCATATTTAGAGGGATGTTTTGTTTTGGGACACACAAATAATTGAGAAATGTTATTTTATTACTCATATCATTGGTAAATTTTAATTTGCACTATAAAGTGTAAGCAATGTGTGTGAAATATAATTCCATAATCCCCAAAGAGTTAGTTTATATATATACACTTAGGGTAAGCTATATAAAATCAGTGGACTAGAGAGATGGCTCAGAGGTTAAGAGCACTGGCTGCTCTTTCAGAGAACCCAGGTTCAGTTCCTAGCACCCACATGGCAGAATAAACAGTCTGTAACTCCAGTTTCAGGGGATCTGACACCCTCTTCTGACCTCCGTGGGCATTGCACAATGTGGGTGCACTTACATACATGCAGGCAAGACACTCATACACATTTAAAAAAAAATCGGTGATCTGTAAATGAAATGAAAAATGAACAAATGTTGGTACTTTTTAGGGTTCCACCTCATTATTTTAAAATAGTTACTTTTGGGCTGGAGAGATGAATCAGCAGTTAAGAACACTGACTGTTCTTGCAGAAGACCCAAGTTTGAATCCCAGCACCCACATGGCAGCTAACAACTGTCCATAACTCCAGTTCCAGGGGATCCGACAGCCTCTTCTGTCCTCCGCAGGCATTGTACAACATGGGTGCACTTAACTACATGCAGGCAATACACGCATACACATAAAATAAAAATAATATTTTTTTAAAGTTACTTTTAATTTAGGTTTGTAGGTGTTAAAAAGTAGTTCGTTATTTTTATCTTCTCTGTGGAACAGAAAAGATGCCCGTCTTGAAAGCCGAAGCATCACATTACAACTCTGATTTGAATAACTTGCTGTTCTGCTGCCAGTGTGTGGATGTGGTGTTTTACCACCCAGATGTGAAGGACATCGTGGAGGCTCACAAGATCGTGCTCTGCGCCGTGAGCCACGTTTTCATGCTACTTTTCAATGTGAAGAGCCCCACTGACATTCAGGATGCCAGTATCATCAAAACCACTCAAGATCTCTTCGCCATCAACAGAGATGCTGTGTTCCCAGGTGCTAGCCAGGAATCCTCCAGCAACCCACCGTTAAGAGTCATTGTTAAAGATGCCCTCTTCTGTTCCTGTTTGTCTGACATTCTGCGCTTCATTTATTCAGGTAGCTCACCCAGTACCCCAGGTTACTCATGCTCTTTTAAGCTTTCTAAATGAAGGATACTTGTGGTTCTTGGGAGTATTGACTGGTTTGACGTTTATCTCATCCCCTACCATCTGAGGTAAAATGAAATATAACATCTAGTATTTGCTTTTTATATATTCCAATCAGTTCAGGTTTTCTGTTTTCTTAACAAATTTGCTTGACTTTTTAAAAAATATTGTAGCAAAAATTACATAACATAAAATTTGCTTTTAACCATTTTTAAAAGTATAGATCATTTATATTAGATGCATTTATAATGTTATACAATCATTACTGCCATCTGTCTCTGTAACTCTTTGAAAATTGAAACTTTGCCACCATTAAATAATAACTTCCTCAAGCCCCTGGCAGCCACTTCTGCACTTTCTTCCTCTGTGGTTTTCTCTACTCTGGGTGCTTCACAGGAGGGTAGACATAGTCTTTGTGATTTGGGGGCTGACTTATTTCACTTAGCATAACATCCTCAAGGTCATCCAGGTTGTTGCTTATGTCATGTTCCTTTTTGTTGTGTTTTTGGTTTTGGACGGGGTCTCACTTCGAAGCCCTGTCTGGCCTGGAACTTGCTGCATAGACCAGGCTGGCCTCAAACTCACAGAGATCCACTTGCCTCTTCTTCCCAAGACCTGGGATAAACGGTGTGTACCATCATGTCCAACTCTCATGGCCCCTTTTTAATGGGGCTGAGTAATCCATTGCTCACACATACCATGTTTTATTTGTATTTTCAGCCATTATAGACACTTGGATCTTTTTCACTGTTTTAGCTATCATGTGTAATGCTGCTGTGAACATGGTTGTCAATTCTTCTGATACTTTGTCTTTAATTATTTGGGATATATATCTAGAAGTGGAATGCTGTATCATATAGTAATTGTGTTTTTAATTTTTTAGGAAACTGCCATACCGCTTTCCATAATGTGTATACCATTTTAAAATTCCTACCAGCAGAGCAGAGGAGTTCCAGTATCTCCGCATCCTCACAGACACTTGTTATTTTTCGTTTCTTTGGTGGCAGACGTCATAATGTTTTGTGGGTCCTACCTTACTGTAGTTTTGATTTGTAATTCCTAATGACTAATGATGGTCAGCATATTCTCTTTTTTGAAATTTGTATTCTATTTTATTTATTTGATTTGTGTGTGTGCATGTGTTTGTGTGTGTGTGTGTGTGTGCGTGCGTGCACATGTACGTGGCTTGTATGTAGAAGTCAGAGGGCAACCTGCAGGAGTCCGTTCTCTCTCTCCTCTGTGAGGGTTCTGGGGTTGGAACTCAGGTGATCAGGCTTGGCTACAGGCAGCTTTACCTTCTCACTGGCCCATTCAGCATATTTTCCTATGCTTATTGTGTTTGCTTTAGTTTTAAATCTACTTTTAAAAGCTGTGATCCCTTACTGAATAGGCATGTTAATCTTTTAATTTATTTATGTACTTTTTTCTATTTTATGTGCATGCATGTTTTGCATGCATGTGTGTAGGTGTACCACATGTGGGCAGTGCCCTCAGAGATCAGAAGAGGGCATCAGATTCCTTGGAACTTGAATTATAGATGATTGTTAGCCACTATATGGGTGCTGAGAACTGAACCCAGGTCCTCTGTTAAAACAGCATGTGCTCTTAACTTCTGAGCCATCTCTCCAGTCCCAATAGCTTATTATTTTAAAAAGTATTCTATTTATTATTTTTATTTTATGTGTATGAATGTATTGCTTGCATGTAGGTAGGTGCACCCATGTCATACAATGCTCTTGGAGGTCAGAAGATTCCCCTGGAATTGGAGTTATAGTTGTTAGCTGACATGTGGGTGCTGGGAATCAAACCTGGGTCCTCCGCAAGAGCAGTTGGTGCTCTTAATTGCTGAGCCATCTCTCTAGCCCCAGCCAATAATTTATTTTTAAGATATCCAAAGTATAAAATGAAAGGATCTACTGTCACCTTAACTTTAAAGAAGTAAAAAATTCCAAGGGTATATGATATCCAGCTGTATACACACCTGAACATCTACCTCCTTGCTCTTCTGTTAGACCTTTAGATTTTGAAGGGCACTGGGAGAAATTGCATTCAGTTTAGTAATTGGAAATCATTGTCTAAATAGTTAGCGTCTTGTCACATTTATCAGTTTTTGCTGTGACTGACTTAGATTTTACCTTTTCTCCCTGTACACCACATCTTCTTGTCTTTCACAAACTTAGTAGTAACTATATTCTCAAGAATAGAGGTTCTATCTGAGTAGTCTAGCAAATTCTTCAGTAGTGTCATGTCTAAGTGTCCCATACAAGAATGGAAAGAGCTTGGCAGGGTACCCTGTGCCTTTAAGCCCAGCACTCCAGAGGCAGAGGCAGAGAGGTAGATTTCTGAGTTCAAGGTCAGCCTGGTCTGCATACAGAGATCCAGGCAAGCCAGGGCTACACAGTGAGATCTTATCCTTTAAAAGAAAAATGGAAGAGAGTGTATATAAAATGGTTTTTAAATAAACTTTTAAATGCAAGTTTTCTGAGGACTCAATAATTTTCCTTTTCTATTTGGAATCATGATTTTGGAATAGTTTTCATTTAAATGGTTGAGTTAAAAAGTAAGATGTTATTTATTTCATTTTGGGTTGTAGTTATAGCATGCAATAAATTAAATTTTAATTGTGTTTTTAAAAAGTATAGTTGTACCACAGATTTATGTGGGTAATAGGAGAAGAAGATGGTGGTGGGCCAGTGAATAGTCACTCAGAAAAAGCATAAATAAGTACCTATACAGCACAGTGCCTTCAGCTTGGCAGGCTCACTGCAAATTTCAGTTGCTGGAGTCATCAAGTGAGTAAGCCTAGTTCTACAGATTTTAATGTTTAAATTTAGAATCTCACAGCTCAGAATTTAAGACTAATTCTAAAAACTAGAATGTTTGCATGTTACAAAAAGTGTTTTTAATGACATGTTTAAGGAACTGTAAAGGATGTGTTTGACTTTTCAATGATTTTACTGTTGAAATTCTGTGAATTATTCAGCAGGTTTCCCATAATATTCATTTAATCTTCCGAAAGGCACATGAACACTCTGAGTCAGTTATATCTTCTCTAATATGGTGGCAGTAAAACAGCTACACACCCCCGGAGATTGAACCTGCCCAGCATTCTATGAAGGGATTTTTTTTACACTGTAAAATCAATACATGGAGTTGGAAAACACTGCAGGCAGATGGACAAAAAGGGGAAAGAAAAGAAGTTCTCCATGTGCCCTCACCCATTTCCCAGTCAGTCACCTATGATAGCTTCTGAATTCTTTCTGATACTCTTTGAAAGAGGTTTATATACTTATCAAAGTTGCTCTAATAAGCATGTAATCTCAGTAACTGCTGTTTTCTTGGGGACCATAGGTACTTTCTTAGGGCTTGGAGCATAGAGGAGGAGTTCAGTCCCTCAAGGCCTGTGGGGACTGTTTCTGCCCTTCCTAGAAGCTGTGCTGGAGCCTTCGGGCTAGGCTTTTGAAGGCTCACCGTGTGGTGATGAGGGAGGTTGAAAGAGAGTGGGCAAGAATTCAGTTAGGAGGGTCTGTTACTCTGGCAGGCAACCTTAGGTCATTTTGACCCTTCATCATCTTCATGAGTGCTTTCAAATCTTGGAGTGGGAGTCACCTGGAGATCTTGTGACTATGCAGATGGTGTAGCTGAGATGTGGTGGAAGCCGCATTCCCAGCGGGCTCTGGGTAATACGTGATGTTTTTGGAAGAACTGGGTTCTAGTCACACCCAGTGAATTAGCACTTGGATTTTCAGTTCAGAAGCTTGGCGGGGAGACCTGTTACCAGATTAAAAAGAGAAATAAAAATGAGAGGAACTGCAGGGCTGACTAATGCTGAGCTATTTGGAGGTGGGTTCTTGGGGTCCCATCATGTGCCTGTCCAAAATGAGGGAGAGTTCATGCTCAGCAGATGAGTAGAACCAAGACAGCAAGGAAGTGGGGTGCCTGGCCCCCATGAAGGTTGTGAAGAGAGTGGAGAGAGCCTCCTCAGCTGCTAAGCCAGTTCAGAGCTCTACTTTTTATCCTCCTGAGCTTCCATATTTCTGCTCTGATCTCCCCTCCTATGTGTCAGCCAAGGCTCAAGATGGGTTGGCATTTGAGAGGGAAAATAACTGGCTGCAGGTTCCTATTAATCATTCTTTAATTATGTACAGATAATACTTCTGAGTCAAGAAAAAGTTAGGTTTAAGTTATGCTTAAACTAAAGCTAGTTTTGCACAGGGAAAAAAAAAAAAAAAAGACCAGTCTGTTAAGAAAAAAAAAACAAGAAATCACACAGAATCCTCTTCAAAATAAAATATCTCAGTATCATTGATGTTTTGTTTATTTTCTCTCATTTTTATTTCCTAATAGACTAATGCTTTAAATATATTTTTACCAAATGAAACAAAAAAATTTAAGTCTACATTTTTCATAGACTCTTCAATGAGAGCTTAAAATGTTCCCTTGGAACATTTCAAGTCTGAACAGAACACAAGATTTTAAGACACAGTTATGCAGTGGTTTCTTTGCAGAAGCACTGACCTGTGGGCCATGGGTTATGTCAGGGAACCATGGAGGACAGGAGCCATTGGTGATATCTGTCATTTGGGTTGCTCTGTAAGGCAGAACTCCATGACACAGCTTGCTTGAGAATATTTGCCCTGAGCAAGCAGGGACTGAAATCATAATAGACCTATCTCTTGCCCATTAAAAAAAAAATCAGCCAGACTACAAAGAAGGTGTTCATTTTTTTTTTTAAAATAACATACTAGTTTTTACCTTGAGGAGTTAGAGTGTATATATAGTCACCATAGGCATTTGGCTCTGTATTAGAAGACACTTGCTTCATACTCTGGTAATATTTTACACCTATGTATGGGACTTCAGTTTATTTTTCTATTAAAAGTTTTGAATAAGCAGCCCCAGCCCAGGTATGTCTATTTTATATACGTTTACTTTGCATTGCATAATGAGGAACATTGTATAATGTGTTAAGTGTTTAATGACCAATGCTTAAAAGACAAGGGCTAAGGGCAAAGTGAGGCCTGCAGTATCTGGAAGTAATCCTGAAATGGCATACACTTGTAGTATTTTTACAACACATGGTACAGTTTGGGGTTTGTAAATTCCAGAGTCACATGATCTCAGATGATTAGAAATTGAAGTATCTGTGAGAGACTCAGGAATGTAGCTTTGAACACATCTTTTCACAGATGGCCCTCAGAAAGCCACATCATTTATGCCGCCAGAGTGGATGAATATGTGGAAATCAGCTTTCATATGTAGTTTGCATGGTATTCTTTGTTGCTCACAATGATTCTGCAGCATGCTCTTTTCTGCACTACGTAAAACAGCACAGAATACTGAGCACCATGCTTTTCCACAGACTAAATTGAGAAATTATCCTAAGAAAATTCCAATGAATGATGCAAGTGAATAGATGACATAGATCCTACAATGACACCATGCCTGCGCTATCTAGTGCTGTACATTGGAAAAAAATGTTTGGTTCTGTCCTTTCAGTTTTACTTACTGACTCTTGGTGAGCTGTCTAACAGAGCAGTGGCCATCCATCGGGTTGACCTGTTACTAAGCCCTCTATTTAGATGATTTGATGTGTGCTTGCTTTCAGATAACCCTGTGAATGAAGATGCTATATAAGTGTTCTTTGGTCTATATAATTTTACTTATATTGACTGAATGTAACCTTTACTTAATAATGTTAAAGGTGGATACAAAGATTTTTATCTGTATTCTTCAGTTGGAGTGAGTATAGGAAATTAAAAAATACCTACATCTTCTCTTTGCCACGTGCCACACTGGGCCTGGATGATGGATCAGATTTCTAGGGGGAGCAGCAGCACTCAGAGCACAATAGGGAACCTTGGGGGAGGCCTTTTTAAAACATATCAGTGTTCAAAACTCTACCTCCAAAAATTCTTAATTTAATTAAGGACAAAGTTTCCTTGGTATGTTTCTACAAGAGATCTACCTCCAGATCAATATAATGCACAACTTGGGTTAAGAATCATTGGCATAAAATAAATTATTCCTGATCTGGGCTCTGTCTATTCCCCTGGGGCTGGAGTTATGGACAGTTGTTAGCTGCCATGTGGGTGCTGGGATTCAAACCCAGGTCTTGTGCAAGAACAGTCAGTGTTCTTAACCTCTGAGCCATCTCTCCAGCCCCCAATACTTCCAAAATTTTTATACAGACTTTTTGTCTGTGTGTGGTATGGGAGGAGATGATCATTTCTGAAGAGATGATCTAAAGGATTTGTCAGATTATGAAAAGACTATGTGCCACACCCCAGTTAAAAATCATTTATATTAAAAGGAAAAGAGAGAACAGGTAGTTCTTATAGATTACACATTCTTCTGGCTTGTGAAAAGGATGTAGAGCTACCAGGGAAGTCAGAACAGAGGGGCCATCACCAGTAGAAAGAAGCAGTGGTGTGCTGGAGCAGGCAGTCACTTGTGTGGGTGAGGCTAGCTGTTTATCAATCCGGTTCCACTGTCAGTGATGTCATGTTGGTAGCTTGAATTTGGCCTTTGAGTATTTATATGACAGAAATGACAAATGCTGCTAAAACTGAGGTGAGGAGAAGGTGGAAGCTGCCCAGGAATGCCCAGTGCCAAGAACCATGAGCTTTTAAGCCCTGGAGCCCCTGGGTGGGCAGTCTGACCCTTCTGGTTGGGTTTGGTTCTTGTTGATAGAAGCTGGCTGCAATTACCTGATCTCATTGTCTTAAAACGTGTGAGTTCTGTCCTCTCCTCAGTATCATTGAGGGCATCTGCAGAATGATGGATACAGGAGGGGAAACATCAGGAAAAGTAGATTAGGAGCAGACAGCAAAGGGCCTTGAATTACCCATGAGAGTTGAAGAGACTTACTTAAAGTATTACCAGTCATGAGTGGCAGAGAAGCTGGTCCTCCTCACTGTGCCCATCCACAGCAGAGTTTCTGAATCTTTTTTTTTTGTTTTTGTTTTTGTTTTTGTTTTTGTATTTGTTTTTTCTGTAACTCAGGGATTAGCTGAAGTTAATCCCTTGGAACATCATGATCAGAATCATGCTTTTCCAAAACTTAGCTTGAATAATAAGATTTCCAAATGGGGAAAAGCCATTAGGGAGCAGGGAGGCTGGGTAGGAGACTGCTGTAGGTGCAGTGAGAGGCACACTTGGGAAAAGGTGGCATTTTCCTAAGTATAGATTGGAATTGGAGGAAAAGCTTTGACAAGACAGAAGGCAAATGTGAAGGGAGCCTAGCCTGAAGTTGTCTGGGGCGAAGACAAGGTCCAGAGAGGAACCAGGAACTGCCGTGACTGGGTTGTGTAGTGTATCAGAAAATTATCTGGCTGCCTTCCTCGGGTTGCTGGCAGCACACAAGGCCTTCCTCCCCTGGCAGCACACGAGGCCTTCTGAATGTGTTCTGTTTCTACAGTATAGCCCTCCACCATGTGATGGGTGTATGCTCTCCATTTTAGTGTAATGTCACTCAACGTAGGGAAATGGCCTTATCAACCTTCTTCCCCCTGGGAGATGGGACACTTTTCAGACCACTTATCACAGAAACTCTTACTTTGGCCAGTGCATTGGCTCCCTGCATAACTGAGCACCTATTTCAGAGAGGGCAGCTATACAGAGTCAAAGACTTAAGGTTTTGAGAAATAATTCAGGGGAAGTCTGACTTGTTAAATATCTACTTCAACTATAAGGATAATTGTTTGGTAAAGAAAAATGAAAATACTAAAGAAGGGAACATTGGTAATGTAGAAAGACATGTTTTCATACCTCTTACCCTGACAGAAAAATCTGACATGCACTGATTTGTTGAAGGTGCTTTTCAGTGGGAAGAATTGGAAGAAGATGTCAGGAGGAAATTGAAAGATTCAGGCGATGTTTCCAATGTAATTGAGAAAGTTCAATGCATTTTGAAAACACCAGGAAAGGTAAATGAATTTGAACTATAACTGGTATACTTTGATGAACATAATACTGAATCTTTAGAAAAGTTGAATAATTCATAAATATAAATGTTTTCCCTGTATATATTTTTCCATTTAAATATTTAAACAGAAACATATGTATTTTTTGCTAAGATTTTAATTTATGTAAGAATTCAAATATGTGTGAGTCATGTCTTTAAAATGCTCATTTGTGAATTCTGTGTTCTGGAACCCTCCACTGAAGTTCTGGGAATACATGATCCACGTCAAGAATTCAGGACTGTTTGATGTGTCCGGTTGTGGTTAAGCTTCTTGGATGTGTCCTCACACTGTATAATTTAAGGCCAAATAGTGTTCGGGAGTATGGTAGTTTCTGTGTGAACTTTTTAAAGAGTTCTGAGAAATGTGTTTAACCAGATAAGCAATTAAGGATTCTCTTAAAAACTGGGTTCAAGGTTATAAAAATATAGACTTTGTATGGTCATAAACATGTGGACATAAAACTCCAGTAACTTAGATTGTACAGTCTACAAGGACTTTAGAAGTAGATTTGTTAAATTTTAATGCAACTATATTATGCAATTTAGCCAGTTTATTCTTATTTCATATTTTGTAATAAGCAAATTTGCTACAGTAGATAAAAAGGTAAGTTGTGCAATGCTTACTTTACATATGAGTCAAAAATTGATTCCTTTAGTTTTTTAAAATAGATGATTTGCCGGGTGTGGTGGTGCATGCCTTTAATCCCAGCACTTAGGAGGCAGAGGCAGACAGATCTCTGTGAGTTCGAGGCCAGCCTGGTCTGCATAGCAAGTTCCAGGTCAGCTGGGGCTACGGGGAGACCCTGTCTCAAAAAGACCAAAAAGAAAAAAAAAAATTATGTTTAAGTCACTTCCACAGCCCAAGTTACTAACATTTTAAAGTTAATGGTCTAAAAATGTAAACTGTGTTAGTTTTTTTTCCCTGATTTTTAGAAGACTAAAAAACACTTAGTGTGTATACTTGTGTTTGTACATGTACATGGTGTGTGTGTGTGTGTATGTGTGTGTGTGTGTGTGTGTGTGTGTGTGAAGTTCAGAGGGCAGCTTTTAGGAATTGGTTCTCTTCTTCTGCAATGTCAGTTCTGGTGTCTTTTCCCACTGAGCCATCTCCCCAGCCCCCTTTCTGATTTTTTTGAGGCAAGGACTTATTATATAGTTCAGGCCACTTCAAACTCTCTCTATAGCCAAGACTGGCCTCAAATTCGTAACTCTCTTACCTCAGCTTCCCAAGTGCTAAGGTTATGTGTGTGTGTGTTACCATAATTGACATGTACTAGCTTAATTAACAAAAGAACATAGAATTAAGTGGTAAGGTCTTTTGTTTCAGTAACAGTGTCGCAGGTACCTGTTTACAGGCTGCCCATCCTCACAGGAATCTGGCAGTTTGGTAATTCTCTTGCAACCTAATTCAACTAAATAATCCTTTTTTATAAGTGTACACATATACCTACATTCTGCTTATTAAAACAATCTAGTTAACTCATTTATGGGGCCTTCCCTCCACTCACATGTATTTGTACATGGTATATACCTACATAATAGTCACAATATGCAGTTCATCACCTAAGTGCAGAGTCTTGCCTTTGTTCTGAACCTGAGCCTTCTCCTTAGTTGTCTTGTGACTTTGAGCAGTTCATGCTTTTCTTTAAAACTGGGGATAAGTCAGATGCTTTAAGCCCTAGCTAGCTCTCTAATTTTGTGGGGGTGTTTGGCTGCCACTCTCGTTCATGTGTCAGTCCTCTATTCTTCTCTGGAGGGAAATTTCCAATCTTTCATGAAGGAGGAAATGATACTATCCCTTTTTTTTCAAGGAAAAAGAAAACCCACTCCAATACAGAATTCATGAGCTAGACTGAGGGGAAAGACAGGGCCATATAGATCCTGGTCCTCCACTCTCAGATCTAGACACAGTGCTCCACAGCACTCACTGGAGGAACTGGGGGATAGCATGCAGGTGACTGACACATGACCCAGTGTTACCTACTAGGCAGTAAAAGGGCCTGTGTGATAAGGAAAATAAATTCATTGAATTACAAATTGCCTCTCCTTCTTTCTCTTTCTCTTTCTCTTCCTCTTTCTCTTTCTCTTTCTCTTTCTCTTTCTCTTTCTCTTTCTCTTTCTGACAGGGTCCTACTCTGTAGCTCAAGGCTGACCTTGAACTAGTAATGCCCCTGCCTCTGCCAAGATTACAGGCATGCACCACCATACCTGGCTGTCCATGTGCCTGGTTTTGTGTGCATAAATGTGTTGTACTTGGCACACATGTGAGTTTGCATTACTGCTCTCTGTTGCCATCAGTGACTCGCAGGGACTCAGGACCCCACTGCTTCTCCTGAACTGTTTTGGCTCAGCCAGTCCCTGCCCCTGGGACTTGCTGCCCTGGCGTTGTTCATTGCCAGGTAGCAGTTGTAGTGCTTGAGGGAAAGTTTCAGAGAAAGTTTCAAAGCCATGATCAGAAATGCCTTTGGGAGGTAGTTGGTTTCTTCAGTTTGCAGTTCACCATGTACGCTCAAAGCATAGCAAACAACTTTTCCCTTGTGTTTGTGTTTTTTCCTAATAGATTAACTGCCTGAGGAATTGTAAGACCTACCAAGCCAGAAAACCTCTGTGGTTTTATAATACGTCTCTCAAGTTTTTCCTTAATAAACCAATGCTTGCTGATGTTGTCTTCGAAATACAAGGTATACCTCAGCTCTTACAAACTGCATTTTATATTCTTATTTCTTGTTTTCTTCCCTTACTTTCTATTTTGGCTTTAAACATTGCGTGGAGAAATTGATGTTTTGTATCAGCAGACCTAGATTAAATACCAGTTGAGTTTTAACAAAATCTGGGGAAATGACATATTTTATAAAACTAGGAAAAATAATTTCTATTTCCTTAGTATTTTTCCTTGTGTTCATACTTCATCATCTTTCAGGGATCGGGATGATTGTTAATATGTCATGATACATTTTTGTTTGTGTCTTTCTTTAAGATCCTAGTTTTTAATTCATCTGAAGCCAGTTCTTTTAACAATGTATTACTCCTTGCTTAGTTTGTTCAGTTTGTTCTTTTTATTTCCTGACCTACATCAGGCCCCCACAGTCACTGCTGAGTTTATCCCTCTGCACTGGAAGGATTGTTATCACGAGAGCAGCTGAAGCAGCTGCTTATCTCTGTGGGAAAGTGATGCTACCTAATTTTAATAAAGATGAGCTGTCTTAAAAGCCCGTTACTGATTACTTACATGGATAATTTTGACACTTTAGTAGATTAAATGCATAATCCTAAAGATGAATTGTCAGGCCAGGTGTGGTAGTGCCTGCCTTTAAAACCAGCACTGAAGAGGCAGGGGCAGGTGAGTTCCAGGCCAGACAGGGCTCCATAGTGAGACCCTGTCTTAATAAAAACATTTTTAAGAAGTTGTCAGATACCTCCAGTTACACAAGAAGGATAGAAGGAGATGGTTCCACATAAATGAAGTAAAACTTCAGATGGGCTGTTGTGATGAGGCGGATGTAATTCTGATTCTGTGGTGGAAATGTGTGGCAGCTAGCATTGTCAGTTAAAGTTCAAAATTCTTTCCCAGAAAGTTGCTTTTTTACCTTTAACCTGGGTTGATTGCTAAGAAGAAGAGTAACTTGGAAGCTTTCCGCTGCTTTGCTGGCAGTGCCATGTGCAGTGTGAGCCTGGGACTCTGAAAATGGGACAGTAAGAGTGACCTTGTGATACATAAAGAAGAATCAGTGTGGGGGAGGTGAACTCACAGCCCTGGGGTTTCGGTAGCCCTCTCCTCCTGTTACAGGACCTGCAGCTGACTCTGGCCAGCTCCTGCTGGTACTGTACTCGAATTTATTAGCTGTCAAAACAAAAAAATCCAATTTGCCTATCTGAAGCCAGCTTCACAAATTACCCATTGTAGGTAAAGAAAGGCTTGTCAGAGATATGGCCACTAGTAATTACAGAATTTCCTTCTTAGCTGTAGAAAAAAAGTTGATGAAGGTGTTTGTGGAAAATGCTTAGTATGTTCTGTACATACCAGAGAAACATAGGAATAGATATAATATGGTACAGATCATCTAAGAAACTTCATATCCCAACAGAAATGGCTACATCTATTGTTAAGAAACATCGTATGGCTGGGCGTGGTGGTGCACTTGGGAGGCAGTGGTAGATGGATCGCTGTGGGATAAGGCCAGCCTGGTCTACATAGTGAGTTCCAGGCCTGGAGAGAGAGAGAGAGAATGAGAATATCAAGGCAAGGGGCCAGAGAGATGGCACTAGCTGCTATTGCAGAGGACCTGGGTTTAGATTCCAACACCCACGTGGTGGCTAACAACTGTCCATAACTCCAGTTCCAGGGGAGATGGTGCCCTCTTCTGGCCACTGCAGGCATTGCACGTACATGGTGCATTTACATACATTCAGACAAAACATTCATACACATAAAATATTTTTAAGAGACATAATATTTAAAGTAAAAGGTGTTTCTCAAGTTTCTAAATTAAACTCCATCTTGGAAAAATAGATACTGGTTTCTGTATTCTGAAAGGAAGTGACTGATGCCCCCAGGGTGCCAGAGAGCTCTTTTCCAAATGATTTCTTATGAGGCACTGAGGTCTCTCCTTTAGCTACATCCTGTTTTTAGGGTTAACGTTTTCTATGCTCAGCAGAAAGATGATGAAAAGGCAGACACCAGTTGTTCTGTGTCCACATGACAACCCAGGGCAGGCTTTTCATAAGGGGACAAATAAGTAGCAATTTAAGTGTATGTGGTGAACATGCAAGAGTAGTTTCTTATGCTGTTTTGTCTAGGCTGAGCTGAATGCTGAGGACTGTCTTCCACCTTAAGCTATAATAGTGTGTTTGTTAACCAGATCTGGCATCTCTGGCTTTCCTGGTTGATGCTTGCCCAGCTGTCCTGTGGCCAGAGCTAATCAATCTCTTACTACTTACATAGTGTTTGATACAAATCCAGTACCATACAGCCAGTTAGGCATTCATTTCTTAATTATGATCAAGGTTTAGTCCTTCAGCTGCCTTTTTCCCCCAGTACCCTAAATTTCCTTGGTTGGAGTTCTGGGTGTCCCCAAACCCCTGAATTTTTCACTGAACCTAAGACACGCTCTTGGATTATTCTCCATATGAATAATCTTGTCCTTTGTGTATGTTTTAGAAGGTTAACTGTGAGGTAAAAGTCGTATTCTGGCTTCAAAGGAAACACAGTTACCACCAAGGAAGGGTCTGTGGTGTTATATTACCAGTGTTCCCGAAGTCCCAAACAGTGACTTCCCTTTAAGTAACTGGCTTTTGGGAGGAAATAACATAGCTCAGTTTTAGAATCTTGCCTATCATTCATTCACAAAGCCTAGGATTCAACATTTACAAAGAAAAGAAGTGGTGCAGAGGAACAGCTATTGGTAATAAGATTAATCATCATTGAAGTTGGAATTAACCTCTGAAGCCTAAGTGCTTAGTGGTAATGGTCCTGCAGGAGGAGAACAATTGGTTGGTTGTCTGCAGTGGATGCTGCTTCTGTATGTCACACAGTTTGAGAGCAATCTCCCAAGTAATTGAACTTGGGTTTGTGGCCCTATCATGGATTAATGATTTACGGACTCTCATTCTTACCTTTTCTCTCTTGCCGCACTGTTTCATAGCTCCCAGAGTTGCATAACAGGCATTAACACCTGCTTGTAATTAGCGTGGGCACCAGATTTCATGCCAGTGTAACCTGCTGAAAAGGTTCTCAGAGGAAATATGCAACACATGGAAACTCATGTTGTTTTAAGAGAAAGCAAACACTTGTTTCTCCTCATAATCGCTTCCTTTTCTTCCATTTTGACTCTTCCTGTCCTCTTCTGCCAGCCCCTACCCACTGTATTAGTCACTTTTCTGTTGCTGTGATAAAACACCATGACCAAGACAACTTATAGAAGGAAGCGTTTATTTGGCTTACGTTCCACAGGGATAAGAGTCCATCGTGGCAGGGAGGCATGGCAGCAGAGATGGCCGGAGCAGGAAGCTGAGCACTCACATCTTCAGGCAAGCCCAGGAAGCAGAGAGAGAAACTGGCAATAGGATAGGCTATGAACTCTCGAAGCCTGCCCCCAGTGATGTGCTTCCTCCAGCAAGGCCACACCTCCTAAATGACTGGAAAGCGTGCCACCAGCTGGGGCAGTTGTCTTTTCTGACCATGTGTAGTAGCTGCTGAGGGTTTCTTTCTATCAGTCCCAGATCAAAATCAAAGCCTTTGAGGACCTGGAGAGCAGAGAGGCTCAGGAACAAGCAATGTGAGCAGGGTGTAGAAACATTGTCTCCTGTCAGCCACCCAGGAGGCAGTGATGGGAGGGATGAGCCTGGGGTCTGGAGTCTCAGCTCCCACTTTGGTTTTGCCTCCCACCCAGTGTGGGAGGCAAGTTGCCTGTGTATAGGCTTACCATCATCTTATGTATGAGTCAAGATGTCCCATACAGGTTTTCATGTTGAGGGTTGCACAACTCTCTTCTTTGATAGTACAGGCCTGAAAAGCCAAAGTGGGAGTTCTAAGGAGAACTTTAAATGTTTTATTGTGTGTGTGTGTGTGTGCAGGCATCTGAGTGCCATAGTGCACTTGTGGGGGTCAGAGGACAATTTTCAGGAGTCAGTTCTTTCCTTCCACTGTGGATTCTGGGGATCACACTCAAGTCATTGGTCTTGTTTGGTAAGTGCTTTTAACCCATTGAGCCATCTCACCAGCCCTAAGGGCAAATTTTGAGTTGAAAGAAAATGAACAAAATTTTGCACCACTGGGAGGTTAAGATATATGTCCATCATCCTGCAGAATGGAGTAGAGCATGTTTGAATCCACCATTGTGGCCATGTGGGTGCTGGGACTCAAACCCAGGTCCTCTGCAAAGAGCAGCCAGTGTGCTCTTAACTGCTGAGCTATCTTTCCAACACCTGGAATCAGATTTTTAATCAAAAGATACAAACATTTGTGAGATTCACAGTTACAGTGTACATACCCAGAAAGACTATAGCAGTTTACATTCCTATTGACAGTATATGAGAGTGCTTGCTCCAGCACATTTTTTTTGATTGTTAAATTCTCATAACAAAGTTTTCCCCCTTTTTTTAATTGAATTTTTACAAATCTCATACTGTATGTTTTGATCATACTTAGATCCCCTCTCCTATCTGCACCTGCCTTACTACTCCCCCACCCAATTTCCTGTCCATAATATGTGTATGTGGGGGGGTGGTTTCTGTGTGCATGTGTGTGTATTTATAAAGTCAGGTTTGTGTCCCCAAATGGCGTTCAGTTTGGATTCATCCACTGGGGCCTTTTTAACCTACCACGATTCTCACCCTTAAATGAGACTGATTCTCCCTTTCCCAGCAGATATCTGTTGCCAATAGTTCCCTCAGTTAGACTTGGGATTTTTTTACACATGTCCCCGCATATATGTTGGGATTTTGTCTGGGCTTGAGTTTACATGGGATTTGTGCATGACTAGCACATATTTTTAGCAGTGTGATTACATCTTAATTTTCTTACAAATTTGATATGACTGTCTTTTTAAAATATTCTGATCTAGACGCCTAGATTGTATATCTCAAAAGTCCAATCTGAGCCATTTGAATCCTTTGGCATGGAGACACTTAATTATTGTAATACAGTGTGTGATGTGGTGATACAGCACAGGTTATGGCAGCA